TTGCAATCGGTCGTAGATGGTAGGATCGTTGTTGTTTCCTCTCATTGGCGGCATCGTGGAACGTACCCGGTCTCTGGATACCAACTGATGTAGCGAAAGCATGAACGAAAGAGAAAAGATACAATACAAGATACTCTCTCGAACTTGGGATACTCTCCCGAAAGAACACGATCAATTTTCCATTCTCAAAATTCAACTCCCCATCACCAAAACAGAAGAGCCCTTTAAATAAAGGCTTCAAACTCAACCCTAGCTTAATATCCAAGCAACTACTATTACTACTACTGCTAATAATAATAATAATAATAATAATAATAATAATAATAATAATAATAATAATAATAATAATTTTAAACATATATATTCTTCATCATTAGCCCACCCAGGGAGCACGAAGATGTATCACGACTTGGAAAAGTCGTTTCGGTGGCGAGGGATGAAAAAGGACGTAGCCGACTTTGTGAGGAAATGTTTAACCTGTCAGCAAGTCAAAGCGGAACACAAGAGTCCCTTGGGCCTTCTACAACCACTCGAGATTCCGAAGTGGATGTGGGAGGAAGTTACGATGGATTTTGTCACAGGGTTACCGAGGTCGTCTGAACATCACGATGCTATTTGGGTCGTGGTGGACAGATTGACTAAGGTTGCTCACTTCTTACTAGTATCAATGAATATGTCTTTGGACAAGTTAGCCGAGATTTATACCCGTGGAATCATTCGACTCCATAAAGTGCTCGTTACTATCGTGTCAGACTGGGATCCCATAACCGTTACCTCATCTGCCAGCATGAAAATGTCGGACACCATGTGCATACGCTAGTGGGCAGACTAGGCCACTAGAACCCAGAATGGACCGGCGACCATTCCAAGCGGATACATAACATAACGTGATACATACCTCAAACATGGTTCCGTAATTATAATCAATGTAATACCCAGTCTGAGTCCCCATCTGAACCGTCGATATGAAACTGGAAGTGCTGATAATCGTGAACTGTTCAAATATGCGCAACCTACCACATCGACCGATCCTCCCGGTCGTCCGGTAACTTCTTCCGACAATTACTACTTAATTGAACATAATATGACATATAAAGACTGAATTTACATGAATTTCTCAAGAGTTGTCGGATCAAAATATGAAATGACTCGGGAAGGCCTACACGGCACCTCCGAGTGCAACATGACCTAAACATGGACTTTACTACATATTTTCTACACGATCTTGCTAAAATGATCACATAATTACTAAAGGAAGGTTGTTATGAATATACTCCTTCGATTACTCGTGAAATGGATCCAAGACTTGCGTTAGTGCACCCTCGCCTGCGCGGAGTTACGCGCGCCTACGGCTTTGCTCGATGCCCCCGCCACAAGCAATGGATAAACTATCTTCCCTTCACCTCCCTAATATTCTTCAAATTTCCTCTTATCAAACTTAATATAGTAAGTAGTAGCTTGATAAAATACTGTCAACTCTCGACAGTGCTAAAGAAATAGTGGATATACAAGAGAAATGAGTAAACTCCTTTTAGGCTTAAGCATTTTTCACTCACGTCTATTACTCTCGGCACTATAAAAGGAAAAGGAGTTCGCCCGGATGCAGATTCAGGTTGTTGATGCACCAAACTACAGATGGACCATTCTTTTAACGCCAAAATGTTGCTCACCAAAAGTTGATACAACAAAATATATTATTTAAATTGATGAAAAGCAAGAAAATTGACAAAGTATATAAACTAAACAAGAAAATACCTCGGTATTTTTCTCTGTTATTCCATGAAGTAAATGTGTTTGACTTATCACAGCTCATTGGTCCTTTAATAAAAATTAAGTAATATTTATAGTAAATTATAAGGACACATCAGTCCCTTAACTAGGTTTGGTGTTAGTCTGCATGAGCTCAACTACCGTATTTGGATAAATACAAATCGGATTACTTTTTTTTCAGGGATATCTGATTTATGCTAACATAAATTTAATCCTATTTTTATATTATATAGATCAAATTGTGGATAATGAGTTTATTCTTTAATAGATTATTATGGTAATAAAATAATATTGGGGAACTTAACTTGGACACACGAATTGGTTTTCGGTTTGGCTGTTCTTTTCTCACCTAACGAATTTGGTGGCAAACCAATAATATTCTTTCAAATGTGAAAACTCCTCTTAATTTTGGATTTTATAATTCATAGTTTACTTATAAATTATTATTGTCATAAATTGCAAGTTTATTTGAATTTATCATGTATGCAAAAATAAATAGTGTTCGTTTTTATTTTTTATTTTTTTTTTATAATTCGACCTAAGATAATATGCCATTTGATTATTCATCTATTTTATAAAATATCACCGAGTGTGCTATTTTGTCGTTTATTCTATGAAAATGGCTCTTAAATTATACGAGTACAATTTAACCATCAATTCTTCACCAAGTCAAAATGCAAGGACAATTAATATTCAAAGAAATTAATATACCTTACAGATCTCATAATACTAATTGAAAGATGACATTGAGCTTGTTTGGTAAACGATGTTTTGCCATAAATTAGGTTTTCTGAAGCATTAGCCGGTTTAACCTTGTCAATCTGCTAAGAGCATCTCCAATAAACCAAGTGAATTGCAGTCTATACGACAGTTAAATAGAAGGCTTTTCCCCTACGTACTGAATGGACTAAATAACCGTCCAATGCTAAAGGTCATGAGTTTTTTTTTTTTCTTTTCTTTTTTTTTTGTAGTAAAATTAAACGGAAAAAAATGATTTAGCATGTTTAATAAGACTTCTACATGTAGACACGTAGGACTTTCATCTAGCTATTTAAAAGGAAATATTTTTCTTGTACTTAATTGCACTTAATTTTTTTTACCCATATTAATTAAAAGTTTCACACTATCTCCAAGTATCATATTGTCGTTTGCTACTTTTTTTTTTATCTTCATGTAAAAGAAAAGCAATTACATACATAATTTTTAATTTGGACTATTATGTTACTATTATAACATTAATTTATCAAATGATAATGAATGATTTGAGTAGTAAGGTAATTATAAACTACAATATATAAGAAAAAAAAAGTATATAATAATGGTTTTATGATTAAATATAAATGACTAATTAGCAATTCAAATTACCAAAAGTTCTTATTTAAATTATTTTTTTATAAAAAAAAAAAAACAATAAAAACAAAACACAAATACATCCAACATCAATAATAACAAAATAATTATAACCTATTAGCAACGACTTCTTCAAAGGGGGCTTTTAAAGGATATATTTCCCCCCTTCAAAATGTTTCTCCATAATAGCAACACTATGTCGTCATCCCCACACACACTGACACACACACACACACACACACACACACCAAAACGTCGCCGTTTTTCCCTAAATTCCCAACAGTCAGCACTCACACGCCTAACATGATCCCCCAAATCAAACAAACCAAACAAAAAAAAAAAAGGTAAAATTAAAAGGGAGTTTAGTGTACATAATTATTAATCTAGCCTTAATTAGTCCTCAAAACCGGTCTGCTTCCAGATCGCGTCCCTGACCCGGCTCAGGTCCCTGCCCTTGAGCGTCCGCCCGACCCCCTCGTGCACCGACAGGGACGCTCCCCTGCTCCGCGCTAGGTACTCGTGTGGCGGCAACCTCTCCTCCTCCTCGTCGTCCTCTTCCCAGCCGCCGCCGCTACAGTCCTCCGCCCACGCGGCGGCGCGTGGCCTGTACGCGCGCCCAAGGATCCTCGACCAGTCGGGCACGCCCACGGGCAGGGACCTCGGCCCGGCGTGCCCGGGCGCGGCCTTCCACGCCGGGTTCCGGATCGGGCGGGCGCCGAGCGCCGGCTTCCTCGGCTCCGCCCGGACGGCGTCGCCGTCGGCCGCGGCGCCCCAGACGTCGGCCTCGTCGAGCTCGAGGTCGAATCGATCGCGGATCTCCGTCGCGAAGGGGCCGATGTAGCGGTGGCTCTTCGCCGCTGCCATTTGTCGCCGGTGAATTTGAAGTTAGTTGAGAAATTAGGAATTTGAAAGATGAGAGTCGTGTTTTTCTTCTGTTGTTGCGTTTAAAAGGGGGGGAAATGCGTAGTTGGGGTTGATGGGTTATTTATAGGGTTTTTGGCTTTTTGGATAAGCTTTGCCTCTCTTCTTTAATTTTGTTTTTATTTAGATGTTTATTTTATATATATATATATATATTTTTTTTTAATATGGAATGATATAATTGTACTGCAATTTTATCCGTGAGGCGGAAAAGCGAGCACGTACATTTCTAGGTGGTGGTAGTCTAATTTTTTTGTAATAGTAGGATGATGGTAGTCACGGGTAATGTTAATTATTTTATCATTTCTTTTGAAATATTGATTATATTATCACAAAACATGTAGCATATATTATACATTTATTTATTTTGTATTTGAATACAATGTGTGGTATATATAGGGTTGCACACGAATTGGGAGGCTCGACTCGAGCTCGAGTTTGACCGAACTCGAGTCGACCTCGAGCCCATATTTTACCTTGTGAGGTACACGTTAAATTACTAAAATACCCCTTATTATATATATTAGCATAGACTCTTAATCGTAGTTTTACCTTTCCACTTAAAAATTTTTGAGTCGAGCTCAAGTTCGAGTCGAGCTCGAGCTGTTGTAATTTTTTATCGAGTCGAGTTCGAGCCTAAAAAATCGAGCTCGAACTCGAGCAGCTAAAAAAAAATTAATTTGCTCAATAAGATCAATATATGCTCGACTCGATTCGTCTCGTTTACATATCTAAATATATATACATATGTTTGCAGACCTAAGTATATATATATATGTGTATGTTTATTGAAAATTGAGATAATTGTGGATGACTATCATCATTAGTCAACTTTCCTTAGAACTAAAATAAAAGTGGAATGTAGTTAGTCTATCCAAATTTATTTATAATTGAATTTTGCTATTGCATAAATTATTGTATGTACATGAAACTAAACATAATATTTTGACTCAGCACTGTCAAGTATAAAGAAAAAATTACAATATAAAAAATTATAGCTCACATTGAAATATTATTTGACCTTTTAATCAGTACTAGCTAAATTGATATTATATGGAAGATGAAAGCAAGAGATATTCGGGAGAAAATCTTCCCTCTTGATTTCTTCTCATTATTATTATTCAACGATCATGTTACAAAGTTTGTATTTATGTATGTAACAAAACAAAAAATAAACATAAACACGCTAAAGGTCTTAACTTGACTAGCTAAACTAAAAGACTAACATAAGAGCAAGGAAACTACACAACTACACATTCACTACACACCCCCTCAAGTGGGCAAACGATGGAAAGTTCTCATGCCCAACTTGGCAAACGATGGGAAGAAGGAATGTAATAGGGAGAAAGAAGTCTTTGTATTTGTTCCTCGATCACTAAGTGAAGATCAATTTCCAAGTGTTTTGTGCGCTCACAGAAATTTGGATTCTCAACTATATAGAGTGCAGATTGATTATCACATGAAGGGACCGGTATAGATTGTCGTACATCTTGTGCAAGTCACGAATTGAATTTTACAATTTTAAGCCTATGCGCAGCGGAACTAAGGTTTAGCGTAGAATACTTACGACTTAAAATTACAGATTCAGAGACGTTGTGATGTAGGGAAAGCTTACGAATGAGAAAGATAAACGAGTAAACGAGATACTCTCTCGTAAAACACGTAAAACGAGATACTCTCTCGATAAAACTCACAATCAATTCATATTTTTATTCAAAATCAACTCGAGATAACAAAAGAGGAAAGTCCTTTAAATAAGACTCCTAAACATTATTCCTAACTTGTCCAACAAGACAAGATCTCTAATATTTAATTCCTAACTTATTCTCCAAGATAACAACAACAACAACAACAACAACAACAACAACAACAACA